GCTGGGATTACAGGCACGCGCCACGATGCCCAGCTAATTTTTTGTAGTTTTAGTAGAGACGGGGTTTCACCATGTTGACCAGGATGGTCTCGATCTCTTGACCTCGTGATCCACCCGCCTCGGCCTCCCACAGTGCTGGGATTACAGGCTTGAGCCACCGCGCCCGGCCGAGCTTTTCAATTCTTCAGTCTTAAATATGAATAAACAGCAGACTGATGAGGAAGTGCTCTAACATGAAAGACGAAGATTAAAACCAATTTTAAAAAGTAGGCAATTTGCTTAGGGAGAAAAAAAAATGCTCAATATGAGTCATAAGAACAAGATGCTAGAGAAAAAATATTTAGAGAATAAGAAAGAGATTAGAAATAAACAGTGTCAAAAACAGAAAATTCTATAGAAGAACTGGCATATAAAGTGAAGGAAATTTCATTGAAGCAGAATAACATGCCAAAGAAAGGAAAAAAGAGAAAAGATAAACAATTTGTTAGAGAACGTCTAGCAGTCTAATACCTACTTAACAGGAGTTCCAGAAGGTGGGAACAGAGAAAGTAAAAGGAATGTCTTATCAAAGAAAGAGAATAAGAAAATTCCCAACTGGAAGGCAGATACCTAATTAAAAGAGTCCATTGAATGCCTAACATAATAATGATAAAAGACCCAATCAGAGCATATCTTCAAGATATTTCAGAGGATCTGGGTAAGAAAATCCAAAAATTTCAAGACAGAAGAAATAATGCAATCAGAATGCCATTGGTCTTCTAAACAGCAACTCTGGAAACTAGAATATAATATAGCAATGCCTTCAAAATTATGAAGGACAATAATTTTTAACCTAGAGTCCTATGCTTCACCAAACTATTAATCAAGTGTGAAGAAGAATTTTACACATTTTCCAATATGTGAGGTCTCTAAGAATGAATGATACTATCTTTAGAATATACTGAGGATATACTTCACTAAAATGAAGGGGAGAAACAAACAAGAGAAAAGTATGGAATTAAGGAAACAAGAAGTCTGTAGAGAAAATGATTCTCAAGATGTTAGAGAAGCATAATCCCAGGATGACCACAAAGCAACAAGCCTTAAAATCAATCCAGATTAAGCCAGGTGCAATGGCTCACGCCTGTAATCTCAGCACTTTGGGAGGCCGAGACCGGCAGATTGCCTGAGCTCAGGAGTTTGAAACCAGCCTGGGCAACACAGTGAAACCTGTCTCTACTAAAATACAGAAAATTAGGTGCGTGTGGCAGTGTGCACCTGTACTCCCAGTTACTTGGGAGGCTGAGGCAGGAGAATTGCTTGAACCCTGGAGGTGGAGGTTGCAGTGAGCCGAGATCGTGTCACTGCACTCCAGCCAGGGCGACAGAGTAAGACTCCATCTCCAAAAGAAAAAAAGAAAAAAAAAAAAATCAACAACCAGATTAAAGCAGGGGATGAAGGGCTCCAGAAGAGATGTTTCTCCCTGCTCTCCCCTCAAAAAAGAGAGAATAAGGTAGAACAGAACTAATAGCTTACTCAGTGTGATTAACTTCATTGAAAGGAGGAAAATTTGGGTATAAACTCGGGACTAGTATATAAGAAAAAAGATGATAAAAAAAGAGGCAAGATTAAACTGCAGAAAAATGGTTAAAACAAAAGGAATAGTTGTGCAGCAAGGAAAAACAGTGTAAAAAATGCAATCATAGTACACCACATGACTCAGCTGTGAACAGTATTTGTCTAGTCATAATACTAAAAACATTGAATGTTTATTCAATAAAAATCATGATATAAATATAAATATAGTTGGAATGTAGGAGTATGACAAGTATTTGTGTCATTAGTATATTAGAGCTAAATTCTCTTCTATGATATCTAAAAATGGAAAAATCAAGACATACAATAGCAGATATACACATAAAAAATATGAAGATCTCTAAACAGTTTAAAAAGTTTAAAGTTTTGGGTAAGGTTTTTAGAGTGGGTAAGGTAGAGAGGGGATTGCTGTTTTTTGTTGTATTCCTTGTAGAATTAAAGTATGTAATTTTTTATACTATGCCCATGTAATACTTTGATGTTAGAGGATGAATTACACATGCTCCAGAAATATGTGCATTTAAGGCAAAATGGCTACTTCCCAATATACTAGCTATCCATACATATTAATAATACCATGCCTCAAAAGCATTAAGACTTTAACATCCAGAATAGGTTTCACTCTGACATATTAAAATGAATGTTTTGTAGGCATTATCATATTTCTTTTTATTATTAAGGGCAAGTATATAGCTAAAAACTGGTTATTTTAGGCTAACTCAGAGGTATTCAACGGGGGAAGGATTTTATCCCAGGCGGGGGATTCTTATTGGTATCTAACAGGCAGAAGCCCAGGATGCTGCTAAACAGGACAACAAAGAATTATCCAGCCCCAAATGTCAATAGTGCTGAGGTTGAGAAACCAAGCTCCAAGTCTTTGAGGATTATTTCATCAGAACGCTATACATAAAGATCGATGATATGCAAACATCTTGCAATTTAGGACTGACTCAGCTAAATATATTGGTGCAATGTTGGAAGCAGTCTGGCTGTGAAATAGACCTTCAGGAATATTGAGAATGGTAAAGACAAAAGGTATAATAAATTATAATAATAATAAAACAGAGCTTTGTACCTCAATAATCTCTTTCATCCATGGTTCCTAAAGAACTTTATAGACTAATAATAACTACTCTGGTAGTCACATACTACCTTTTATCTGAGGACTGCAGGCACTGTCACAACACTCTCACAATGTAGGAAGTATTACTATCCCCATTTTATACATAAGTAAACAGAGGCACAAAAGTTAAGCAACTTGCCCAAAGCCACACAAGTCAGTAGCAGTCAAAATTCCTGACTCAGAACCTATTAATACTAAGAGAACTGGTCTAACCCATGCAATGATAAATTTATGTGGTGTTATCCTAGTTCATTCAAAGTCTATCGTTTTTTAGGTTGATATTGTATATTCAGTACCCAACCTATTTTACTTTCCTCTTCTCCCATATACTTTTTAGAGACCAAGGACTGTAAGTCTCTAGAAGTGACTATGTTTACTGAGTGCCTTCCTCGAATCAAGCACACTTTATGTGCAGTCTCAGTTCTTACGACAGCTTAAAAATAATGTGATTTTTGCTGATTGTATAGTACAGAAAGCTGAGTGCCAGGTAATTTAAACATGCCCAAGACCTCTCATCTACTTAACATAGGTTTGTATCCAGGCTGACTATACCCTCTCTCCATTATGTTCTGCAGCCCTTCTAAGAGAAAGTCCTCTGTTAAGTTACAAAGCATATTAATGTGAATACATTTAATGTCCCACCCTTCCTTAATTTCCTTAAAACTCAGAAAACAAAATAATGACTATGTAATTGAGAAATTTCAGGTGGCACACTGGGGTTGGTACCAGCTAGGTAAACAGCAGCTCACCCTTTTAGTCCTATTCCCAAGAAAAGCCTTTACTTTTCTAAGGATTTTTCCGCACATCTCTCCATACGTTCCAGACCAAAGACCAGAACTGTCTTTCCCTGAGAAATACACAGCATGTGAATCATTCTTCTGTTCCCAGTTCTGTGGCAGGCAAACACTGATTGCTCACTCACCATGTGCTCCTGAGCAAAACAGGAATATTAAGTAGGAAGAAAGGTTTATGTTAGGTAAGAGTGTGACTTAGGGCTCTCCTTTTTTTTTTTTTTTTACAAAATGGAGACCTGGCATTTGTCGCCGCCCACAATTATGTGCCCTGACATTACTTGGATATAGAAAGGTCAGTCTTCTCAGGTGCGTCAGTGGCAGCCCACCCACCACCTCTGATCCAGAAATTTTAGATGACTTGCATCTGAGGATAAGCCTCTGGCATGTTAACAATGAAGAAATAGAGACAATCACTGCCCAGCTCATCTCAAATTAGCATCAGTGCAGCGTTAGTACTTTGGTAGGGAGCTTTGCTGCTAAATTCACTCTCTGGAAAGAGGAGATGGAGAGACAGGGTTAAGAGGAAAACTCCAAGACTGGGATCGCCAATACAATAAACTGTCGAACTTTTTTCTCCAGCAAGTCTAAGATATTAGTAAGTCCTTCCTTTTACCCAACCCTTTTCACCAGGACACCAGTTTTCTTAAAAGGAGGGTGCTGGGTTTGTTTCCGTTCTTTCTATTCTCCTGCCCGCTGCCCAAAAGTATATCTGAAAAGGGAGCAGCGACTAGGAAAAGAGACACGTGGGTATTTTCCCATCCTGTCTAGTCATTCCCTGAATCATCACAAGTTATCGCACTTTTCCCCTTAGCCAGCAGCGTTCGAGACTTTCTCTCAAATAATATGGTCTTGTACTTAAAAGGAAGAGTGATGGGAGAAGAGAGAGGCGGAGAAGACGAGCGAGGAGAAGGGCGTGGAGTGCCGTTCCCGCCCCGGAGTCGCAGGCGCTGGGAGGCCGGACGCTGCGAGGTTGCTAGCCCAGGAATGTGCGGTCCAACCAGCCAGCCGCGGGCGGAGCGCGGCGGTCGCGGTGTGGTCAGCTGCGGGTGCGGAGCGGAGGACGGCGGGCTCGAAGCGGGCGGCAGCGGCGGGCGGGACGCAGCGCCGCGCACCTGAGCGCCGAGGGCGGGGCGTCGGCCGCCACGACCCTACCCACCGCGCGCCGCGCCCCTCGTGCGCCGCCTCGGCCCTTTCCGCCCGTGCTTCGGCGCCGCTCGGCTCCCTTCCCGCCCCTCGCTCCCTCCCTCCCTCTCTCGTTTCCCTCCCTCTTGTCCTGGGACTGCTTGGAGCCCCGCAGCGCGAGTTTGCTGCGGTTCCGCGCGGCGGAAGAGTGCGCCAGCTTCGGCTCACCTGGGCGCCAGATCCCAACCCCACGCCTCTTCCCCTACAGGCTCCTCCGAGGTAAGGGGCTGCCCGGCCGCTTGCTCACACCCGTCCCCTTCCCCGCTCGGCGGGACAACTGGGTCCCCGCCTCCTCCGCGAGCCGGCTCGGAGCTCCGCGCCTCGCCCTGGGTGTGGGGGTGTCGCTGGCGGGGACCTAGGGCCGGCGGTGGCCAGAGCGCGGAGCAGGCGATACGACGGGCCGACAGGTGGCGGGTCTGGTCCTCGTACCTCGACCGCCTCCAGCGCGGACCCCGGTGGGGACGGGGCGGGCTGGCTAACTTGGGGGTGGGGTCAGTCCTCTCTCCTCCCTTCGAGGGGCGGTGATCGTCGGGGTCCTCATTGTAGGTGCGTGGGAGAAACTTTGCAGGGTGGGGAGCCGGCGGCTTCTCGCCGGTAGGGACTAGTGGGCACGCTCGAGGGCTCCGAAGGGCGCAGCCCCGGGGCAGACCCTCGGTGGGGCGGGGACCTTACGCTTCCCCTACCCGCCCCCTTTTGTCTTTCCCCTCAGACCAGCTGGCTGCTGGGGGAGCAGCGGCCGCCCAGCTCCTGGAGGTCGTTCCCTGGCATCCTCGGGGACAGAGGAAGGAAGAGGCGGCAGCGGCGGGAGCCCTGGTGGGCGGCCTGAGGTGAGAACCCCGCCGGCCCCGCTGGGAATATGGCGACCGGTGGCTACCGGACCAGCAGCGGCCTCGGCGGCAGCACCACAGACTTCCTGGAGGAGTGGAAGGCGAAACGCGAGAAGATGCGCGCCAAGCAGAACCCCCAGGGCCCCGCCGCCCCGGGAGGGGTCAGCAGCGACGCCGCCGGGAAGCCCCCAGCGGGGGCGCTGGCCACCTCGGCGGCCGCCGGTACTAACGAGCTCAACAACAACCTCCCCGGCGGCGCGCCGGCCGCACCTGCCGCCCCCGGGCCCGGGGGCGTGAACTGCGCGGTCGGCTCCGCCATGCTGACCCGGGCGGCTCCCGGCCCGCGGCGGTCGGAGGACGAGCCCCCAGCCCCCTCTTCCTCTGCGGCGTTGCCACCCCGGCGTGACGAGGAGGAGCGGGACGGCGCTCCAGAGAAGGGCAAGAGCTCGGGCCCTAGTGCCAGGAAAGGCAAAGGGCAGATCGAGAAGAGGAAACTGCGGGAGAAGCGGCGTTCCACCGGCGTGGTCAACATCCCCGCCGCAGAGGTGAGTCGGGCGGGGGCCGTAGCCGGGCAGAGGCGGGCAGACGCCTCCGCTGTCTTCCTCCTGGGAGTCCCCAGGGCCCGGAGTTTTCCTCCTCTGGCTCGTACTTGTCTCTTCACCGAGTTAGGCAGGCAGGGGGTGGGAGTTTTATTCTCAACAAATGTTTCCTGGGAAGTTCCTCAAACTCAGAGTAGAACATGTGCCCTCTGCAGGCTTCCTGGCCAGGTCTCAGATCCAGGATCTTTCTTTACCGTGGTGGAAAGACAACTTGCTCCAGGACTTGCCCACCTGGACCTGGCTGTTTATGCTTCATCAGTCAGAAAAATTGATTAATGGTGGTGACAACATTCTCTAGGGTCCCACGTGCCCATGTGAAGTTGCCAGTTTATCTCTTTCTTACCAATGTTTAATAGCACCTGTAAAGAAAATGTGGCCTTAGCAATTATCCAAGACAGCTTTATCTTCCAGTGAACTTGAGTATATCTAAATGAATATATGCACTCTTTCATACATAAATCGACTGTTTATAAGTTGTGCTCCTAAACACATAGATAGGTTTTTTCTGAGGGATATTTAGGACAATAGGGATCCTTTAGTAACCTACAGTTCTGTTTGCTAAGACGATCTCTTCTTGTTTTTGAGTACTGTATCTGGAATACATATGTGGTAGGGTTTTTTGTTTGTTTTGGGTTGTTTGCATTTTTGAGCATTTTCAAAATGTTGCTACAGGTAGCAGCATCTTCCCGTTACACTGACTGGTAAAACATTTTTACTAAGTATATAATCACACCTCCTTATACCAGAAACAAGACAAAACAATCTCAAACAAGTTTTGGTTACTTTAATAGTAGCTCACGGATTTGAGGAAGTGGCTCAACTACCTTGTTTCACCTAAAATAGTTGCATCTTTTTCTCATTGACCCTTTAGCTTTCACTTTTTTTCCTCCTGACCTTCTGATTTTACTCAACTTTGCCACCCGGTAAACAACTATTAAGAATTTACTAACTTTAGTTGTGGTTTAAGTAAAAGCATTTGCAATAAGTTAGGGTGTATATTAAATACACCCGAATTTTTAGAATTAGTATGATTTCCATACCTAGAAAATCATAGTGTATCTTTGTAGGGTGTATTTTTATATGAGTGTTTCAGTGATTTTTATCAGCCAGCAAAACTGTCCTCTGCGGTTTGCTCCTTGCACAAAAGATCTGTTATTCATTAAATTGCTTTAGAAGGAATTCATAAGAGTGGTAATCAAATTTCCATTTTTTTTATTTTTGAGTTAAAAATATGAAGATTAAGGGGAAATTGAAGACAAAGCTTTGGGAAAGCTACATTCCTCAACTTTATTTTTAAAAGTAGCTGATAGTCCAAATAAAAGATTTTGTCATTTTCAATCTTTTCCTAATTGTTCATCTGACAGGGTTCTTATTTTGGGAAATAACTCAGCAGAAGTTAAACTTCACTTTTTTTCTGGCTGCATGTGCTAAAATTATTTTTCAAGTACTTTTTTTTTTTAAAAAAAAAAAAACAAGGATAATGTTTACTGAGGGAAGGAAGTAGGGTGTATCTTGTGAGATCCTAAGAAACATCTTTTGTTAATACTCCTGCTTTTGAGTAAGAGAACATAGTGCTGAGAATGTAGATGACTCCCCACTACAATGGAGTCTAATACTCTGGAATGTTTTCGTTTGGGTGTTGGCAACTCCTAAATTTAATCTTCCTTAAAAACAAACAAACCAAGGTTACCTTTTTTTTTTTTTTTGTCTGTGGAATTTGAACCTTTTTATTGAATAGGGAATTGAGGACTGCTTTCTTTTAGTGGTAACTATGGCTCTATCCGTTTCAAGCTGTAGGACCCAACAAAACATAATAATGTTTTACCACAGTATCTAATTAACAGACATATTTCTTGAATGCCTTCTCCTTATATTTTCATTTTTTTCAAAACAAGTATTTCAGATTATTTTAAACTGGTAAAATATATGATACAAAACTTTTAAGCTGAGCCATTTTCATGTCTTTATATTGTTGCTTTTTTAGAATTGTGTGCCATTTCTCCTAGTAGTTTCAACAGTGAGAATACCAGTTGCTGTGGAGTTTCTTGTATATTTAGTTTAGCACTCCTGTTTTAAAAAGTCATATATATTTTGCAAATTTTTCAGGTATGAAAATATGTAAAAGGATGAGAACGACCAATCTATATTCAGAAATATTCTTATATTTTATCTAATGTTGAGTGAGACTCATATTTTCAGACATGATTCCTATCCATGTTTATATTAGTAGATTAACATGTAGTTCGTATGTAGAGATCTTATTTTAATGGTTGATAAACATGAAGCTCCTTCAAGGAAGTACTTACGAAACATCTGTGTGATACGTTTATTGTGACTTTGATTACCTCATTTTACTAGTTATAGATTATATAATACTGTTATAAAGGTACCTGAAAGCAGCTAAAAATAGCAGAATCGACTAGAAGATAGTTATAGGCGAGGAACCAGGTCAAAAACTGAAAATAGTTGATTTGGGAGGTAGGAGACTGGGTGGTTACTGCGTGTGATGAATGGAAAGTCGAAATATCCAGAGCTGCTTTAATGAGATAAAATTTACTAAGAGTTTTTTTTTAATCTTTTTTTCCTAAATTTTTACATTTTCAATTTTTTTGGTAGTAATTCACCTGAATTGCATAATTTGGACGTGGCATACTTCTTGCCAATAATTTTTGTGTGTGTTTATCAGATCAGTCAAATGTATGTTACATACCTGTTAAAGACACTGTCCTTAACCACTGGAGAAAACAAGAATTGGCAGTGTATATTTTCAAGGAGCAAGGCTGTAAACTAGGAAGAAGGATAAGGCATGATTACATGAAAAAATTTAAGTACTGAGTTAACAGTTTAAAAGCCATCTTTTTTTTTTTTTTTTTTT